GCTTCAACTACATTACGACGGTGTACATTTCTACACTTATACCAATGCATAACTCTTCTAATCCACAAGCTTTTCTGAAATTTTGCTGGAAATATTGTAATGAATTCACTTGCATCCATCACCTTCATACAGATTATAAGTTTTAGCACAACCTTTAATTTCAAAAGAAAATAAGGAAAAATTCATAAATACAAATGTTTTAAAATACAATTTCAAAATTAATAAACTTGCAATTTTTTTTTTTTCAAAAATCATATGGTCACATTTGTGACTTCTCATATAATGTTGTGATCTACAATTTAATTTAAAAACCAAGTCTCGCTCACATACACACAATTTATGGATCCAATCACGTATTAAATCACAAATCACACAATTAAAGTTACAAATTATTTTATTAACACAAGCATGTGACGTGGCATGTTGTCAACAACGATATCAAAATTATTGTACACCAAACATTGTTCTCCCTTTAAACTGCTTCTTCGAATATCGATTTTCACATGTTTTCAGCTGCGGGTAATAATTTCTTCATGTGATCTTTATTTTATTTTTTGCCGGAATAAATTAATGGATCTTAGATACCCACTTCAGAAGTGAAAGTAAAACTCTGTTTCTTAATTATCAAGGTTTATCTGATATTCATATTATCCATTGGTTTTTAGGGGTTGTGTGACAAAGATTTTGATAAAAATAAAAAAAATTTAATCGATTTTGATAAAAACTGATGAAATCTACGATTGAAAAATTGATAAGAATCACACGAAATGTCTTATTAAAATTAAATATTTATTTTAATTTAACTTTTTATGAAATACTTAAATTTTTTCCAAACAAGCACTTAGCATCAATTTTTTTTTATCATTATTTTAATTTTTCTCAAATTTATTTTCAAGCATATATTTTTACAATAAAATATTTTGTAAATAAATCGAATTTTTTTCTTACTTTTTCAATCACACGTTTTTTGAAAATTTATTTTCCTAATAATAAACTGGAGCCTAGTTTGATAGTGGTTAAAAGTAAAATAAAAAATGAAGATTTATGAGTGAGTGGAGAACGGGGGTAAGCAGAGAATAGNTTTGTACAGAAAACATCCAAAATGTTAAAAACATTATTTTGTGATTTTAGTGCAAATTTTTTTTTTTTTTCAAAAATCAGATGGTCACATTTGTGACTTCTCATATAATGTTGTGATCTACAATTTAATTTAAAAAACAAGTCTCGCTCACATACACACAATTTATGGATCCAATCGCGTATTAAATCACAAATCACACAATTAAAGTTACAAATTATTTTATTAACACAAGCATGTGACATGTTGTCAACAAAGATATCAAAATTATTGTACACTAAGCATTGTTCTCCCTTTAAACTGCTTCTTCGAATATCGTTTTTCACATGTTTTCAGCTGCAGGTAATAATTTCTTCATGTGATCTTTATTTTATTTTTGCCCGAATAAATTAATGGATCTTAGATACCCACTTCAGAAGTGAAAGTAAAACTCTGTTTCTTGATTAACTATTTATTTTAATTTAACTTTTTATGAACTACTTAAATTTTTCCAAACAAGCACTTAGCATCAATTTTTTTTATCATTATTTTAATTTTTCTCAAATTTATTTTCAAGCATATATTTTCATAATAAAATATTTTTTAAGTGAATCAAATTTTTTTCCTACTTTTTCAACACGCGTTTTTTGAAAATTTATTTTCCTAATAATTAACTGGAGCTTAGTTTGATAGTGGTTAAAAGTAAAATAAAAAATGAAGATTTATGAGTGAGTGGAGAACGGGGGTAAGCAGAGAATAGCAGGTAAAAGTCCAAATCAATTCCAGAAAAGAACCGACACTTTCTTTCATATGTACCATAGAATCCAATGCATAGCACGGAGAAAAATGCCAAAATATTGCTTGAAAAGGATATATGTTTATCAATGTTTAGATTCATTCTAAAATATATATATATTTTCTATTTTTGTGTTGTTTGATTGATAATTTTTTTCACGAAAAATATTTTCCGACTTTTGGTCACGCGACCATATTTTCTTTGAAAACAAGAAAAATATTTGTTTTAAGGAGATGTGCTTTTTATTTTCCAGATAATTCACTCTCTCACCTATCCATCAATAAAAATAAACAAATATAATATTTTCGAAAACTAAATCAATAAATACATTTAATTAATAATTTACATAAAAATAAGTTTTAGTCAATTGAATTATCTAAAATTTATTTTCTTTGAATACAAATTTCATACTCTCAATCAAACGCACCCTTAATTTCGTGTTATCCCAGAAGTAGTAGGGAGAAAATTATTATGCTCGTTTTAACTAATTTTTTAAAATTCTTTTTTTTTTTCGCTCAAAACTGATTTCTAACCACAAATTTGTACATAAATTTAATTTAATTTAATTTTTTACTTTTTAATCATATACTTTTAAAAAATTACTTTCATAAAATTTATTGGCTCGAACATGGACTCTATAATTAGCCCAATAAATATGCGTTAACATGAGTAAATTGAATGAGGTTTAGAGTTGCCATTTTACAGCAGTGTAAACGTGTGCAAGAAAATGAACTGCTTTCCGACATCAGGCTTGAAAAAGATATAATAGGTACTGGCAGGCACATGGATCTTGACTTTTAAGTTATATTTATTTAAATTATAGATTAATTGTGGGGTAGAATTTTCAAAGATTTGCACATTGCAATGTTTTTTTTTCTCAGATTAATATAAATCCCTGCTGGGCCTGCTTTTTTCATGTCAACAGCTACAAAAAGTCTAGTCCACCTCACACTCTTCATCCGTATGTAAACGTAAAACACCAATCTCATCCAACCAACCAAAATCCACATACACGGCCCCCACCCCCATCGCCACCGTCCCACCACCACTGTCAAGGTAGAAACAAACAAGCATGGGATTTCAGGGTGAAGTAGGGCAAGATTCAGATTCTACACCCAAGCAGCTTCCACTTTTCTCCAAAACAATACCACCCATGATGCAGTCACCTTACCATTCAGGGATGCTAACACCACCACTGCACACTTTAGCTTCAGTTCCATTTCAATGGGAGGAGGAGCCTGGGAAGCCTAGACCATGCACTGCTCTCATCGCACTCCCCAACCATAAAGACACTGAAACAAAGTGCTTAGAGCTTCCTCCAAGACTGTTCATGGAATCTACCACTAAAATTACCAAATTACCCTCTCCCACCAGAGTCTTGGATGGACCTTATGTGGGCATACCCAAGTTCTCTTCTTCTTCATTCAGATCTCTCGGAGAGGCTAAAGGGTCGTTTGACGGTTCGAGTAGCAAAATTCCTGAGAATGTGCAACTTAGAACTGTTGTACTTTGCAAGAAAAGACACAAAAGAAGAGGTTTATTTTATTCTTGGGGAAAAAAGACTATCACAGTACTTAAGGGTCGGAAGAAGGAAATTGGTGATGACGATGCTGGGACAAAGGCTAAAATTGAAAAATTAACAAGAAATGGAAGCTTTTCAAGCTTCACTCAAGCTAGGTCTCACCTTTGGGTAAGTATTTCCAACTTTTTTGCCCTTATAATTCACTTTTTTTTTTAATATAAAAAGTGATATTTATGCCATTGTTCAAGTATTTTCCATTTGTTACTTTGCTTATTGCATGACTGGGGATTTGGAATGATGCAAAATGACAAACCGTCACGATATGTTTACCTTTATTCATATCTCAGTAATTAATAATATAAAATCTTAGAGGGGGCAGTGATTGATACAAGAATTGATATTGTTGAAAAGAAAGCTCAAAACTCGTGCAAATCCATCCGAAAAATGCTATGAGCACAGGAAAATTCAACAGGTTTTTGCACAGAAAGACAGTCGTCCTGTGCAAAAACCTGTTGAATTTCCCCGCAGACTTATTCAATCCATTAAGGGTGAGTAAAATTCTGTGATCGTCAGCCACATAGTGTCAATTTTCAAGAATAGTAAAGCGTGGGGCTAGATTAGGTAAGGTCCGTGTCCTTGGGGAAGGACATGTAAGTAATTTCGTTCTTGAACATGCATGTGGAAATTTTTGCAGAGGGGGTATCTTATTGACTAAAAATAGTGAGGCCTCAATTCTTGTTCTTGAGGGGAGGGGACACCAAAAGAGAACCCCGAATTGTTCTCCCTGGTTAAGATTTGAACGATGGTTTAGACAGCGAGCGCCTGGTCAAATTTATCAGATGCTCGTTCGTTTGTCTTGTAGAAACCATTATAGGGTTTCAATTGATTCATTCTAGAGAATTAGATGACTGCATTTTGAGCTTAATAATCTGTTCTTATTCCAGGATGCTATATATGAAGGTTTCAAGCAAGTGATGCCGTGGAAGAATAGAAAATCAAACAAAGAAAAGCTTACAGTTTAACTCTCTATGCAACCTCAAGGACAACTATATATTTGGATGCTCATTTGTAATAATTTTAAGGTCCTCGTACGAGTCTTACCTTGGTATAAAACATGTCATAAGTTATGGTGGCATGCATTCTAGTTAGTCGAGTCTAATATGACAACAAACTTCATGTCTTCAATATTTTGAAATGGACGGAGTATATGAGTTCATGAGAGGTATAATATGGCAAGAAGGATTCATTTCTATGATTTAATTGTCAAGTTAGATCGCGAAATATGAACGTGGCAGGTTACGTGTGGAATTATGTAACATTATTTGGTATTTACATGTTCTTGTGTATATGTTACCGAAAACTCAGTCTAGAGAGTTTATTTGCAACATCTTGTATATGCTAAGTATGGAATTATGTAACATTAATTGTCTAGAGAAGTATTCAAAACTCTTAATAGGTTTAACCGTTTAAGCGATATGAAGTTTTACCCGTTGTATGCCCTGTAAAATGGTGGTCTATTTAAGAACATCAATATTGCAATTTGATATCTCATTTGAGCTTTAAATAGATACAATTATCTTTGAGCTTTTTGAGCTCTAACACTACTCTCATAATGTTGGGGGATAAATATCACATTAAATAAATATAAAATATATTTCAACATATAATTAAGGTTTGTGTTACTTTTGTTAATAAGATTGATCTTGTACGATGGCACAAGTCTTAATATGTGTATCAGAGCCTATAAAGTAAAATGAGCACTTGGATTCAATTAAAACTCAAATGAGTATACGGATTTTAAGATTGATTGTGTAAACGAGTTAACATATTGTGTGACATGTTAAGGGATAAATTTCACATTGAATAAATATAAAAATGATTAATAGCATAAAACCTCCCTAAAAACGTTTCTAATTGTAATATACCTCCTACTTACTGAAAATCGTAGAAAACCTCCATATTTGAAACATTTTGTGCGAAATACCCTGTACCGTCCAATTCCTTTAATTTTACCATTAAAAAAAAGTATAAATTGCAAAAATTAAAAATGAATAATTATAGTTGTGATTCTAAACTTTTTTAGTTTTTTATTTTACAAATTACACCAAAATCTTTTATTTGTACCACCCATATTCTCAAACATTTAAAAATTATCTCCCCCACACTCTCACCCCCCTACCACAGCCCACCCCAAACTAAACAAAAAACATACAAAATTATTTCCTTATTTCTACTCCTCTCTTAATGGATCAGTTGGAGCAATTGGATCATGACCCACTGTCGTATGTGACTGAATTGAATTGCCCATGGTTCAATTGGTGCATTGGAGCACAGTAGATTGGCCAATTGAAATGAGGGAGCTGTCGTTCGTTCACCCAAGAAAGGGGGCAAACTTTGAATATGATTGGGACGATTTCTGGAGCAATTGATGAAATTGGAATGTTAACCATGGTTGAAGGGACCTGATTAAGTCTCGATTGATGCCAATTTGTTGATTCAACATTGCGTGCAACACGAATTGAAGCAGGCAAATTCGAGTTTGCGATTGCCGAATCTATTTGATCATCATTAGAACAAAATGGTGCATATTAGTTGACGTTCGGTCATAATCTTGATCATCTGGATGAGGGCTATCAATAGGTGGTGGTGCGCGATCGTGAGCATAACTGGAGATGGGTTTTCTGGAAGAAGAGCCGGGTGCACGACATCGGGTTTTTTGGCTGCGATTTCTGCCGATTCTTGTTGTTTCATGGTTGACGGTTAGTTGGAGGTTGTAGAGATGAGTGAGACAAGGCTGTTGGCGGTGGGATCCAGTAGTCTTGGTGGTCAGAAAGTGGTGATACGAGGCTCTATAAGTTTATTGCAAAAGTTTAATGTTTTCTACCTCAAGTTTCATTTCTTCTTCTCATTCCAAATAAAGTTTCAAATGTTTGGGATTGTAGGTGGTACATAAAAAAAATTTGGGGACAATTTGTAAAAGAATAAAAAGTTTAGATACTAAAAATGCAATTATTACTTTTTAATTTTAACATTTTTTATTGTTCTTAACGAAAAATCTGACGGTATGAGGGAATTTAGCAGAAAATGTTTCAAATATGGGAATTTTCTGCGATTTCCAATAGATAGATGGTATATCGTAATTAGAAACGTTTTTAGAAGGGTTTTTTGTTATTAGTCCATTATAAAAATATAGATCAATATATACAGATTTGAGCCACTCATCTTAAAAAGATTGCAAATTTGAAGAATAAAGTTCAAGTTTTAATAATTGTGTTATGTGTTTCCATTTTAGCTTTGTAGGATACTTGGTCTGTTAGGTTTTGTGACAAAAATTCTATGTGATTTAGAAGTTTGTTGTATGAAGGAAGCTTGTTTAATTATGGTTTAGAAGTTTTGTTTGATTAGGAATCAAATTTCATGGTGTTTTGGGAGTTTGATTGAATTAAGGACTTGGAGATGAAGTAAAATACTTTGGAGCGGAAAAGAAAAAAAAAAAAAAAATTTAGCAAGCTCGGCACCGCAGCAGCAGGCAAGGCGCGGAGCCCCTGAATGGGTAGGGAACCTGGTGTTGTAGCGCCCGGTCCCGCGCCGAGGCGCCCGATAGCGTGTTTTTCCGCAATTTTCTCGTTTTATCCGAATTTTGGAACTTCTTCTTCATCTCGGACTCCACAACTTCGAGATTTGGCTTCTGTAAATACTCCACGAGATATAGACACTTAACAAGAGAGGAAAAGGCAAGACTCAAGAGAGATTATAACATTTTTGTGAGAACCCTATGTGTTCCGTAACTTTTGTAATGACGCCGAAATTTTGCTGAGTTTTTTTGTAAACAGTATTCTAGAAAAATCTATTTTTGGGGGAGGATATTTATAACCATGCATAAAACTCCAAATGAAGGCATCAGTATCCCATTTACACAACATAGAACAGTTTGTAAATTGTTTTGTTATCTGATTTTAAACTTATTTTTCAATGGTCTTTTCTTGTTCGTTTACATTAAGAATACAACATAGGATTACTTGAACCGTCTTTCTCGCTTCCCCGATAAAATGCTTGTGAAATAGGTACTGAAAATAAGTTGAAACTTAAAATTGAACATAACAATTAAATGACATAAAACTGAACTATAAAGATGCTAATCCCCGTTTCCCTTCCTCCATTACCAAGAACTTATATCGGGCTCCAAAACACAATGCAACATGGCCAGACCCTTACAAGACTTTGACGAAAGGTATGATTATACTATTCAACTTTTCCTTCAAAATAACTAAGACAAATCATGACGTCGCAAAACATTGTCAACATCATTTATATGACGTTTCAAAACAAGTCCTTGTAGTAACATAACATAAGAGGAAGAAATCAAAAGATCAACTTAAATACATGGTTCATGAATATCCTACCTTAGGAAGTAGAAAGCTCATTTCTTAATTGCAACAATGACGGGCATCATATCCTCCTGAAAGGCTCCCTTTAGAGTGGAAATTTCCCATTGAAAGAAAGAAGAGACAAATACAAGATGCTGAATGCTTATCTTGAGCAATTTGCGGATTTTATCAACAGTGGGATCAATGGCTTTGGTCTTGGAATTCATCTACTGGCATTGGAGGGATATAGGTACGGTCACAGTTAAGCAAGCAAAGGCTCTCTTTCCACCAAACTGTACTACGGAATATTCATCCCCAAAGATCTCGGTCAGCAGGCTTTTTGGTCATTTCATGTCAAGATATTCCCCGTCATTGCATGTAGTAGGTTCATACATCCCTTTTGTTAACCAAGTGATATTCATGTCCATTAGATGGCCTCCTCCACCCTTACTAAACAACTTCCAAATGGCATTGTTCCAATACATTAGAAATAAGAGAGAATTGTTTAGATTAGATTGAGTTTATCAAAATCTTGTAAGACAGTTGTTTGTTTCTTGGTATAATAAATTCTCCATTTTCACAATTTACTTAATTGCTGTGTGATCCATTAAATTTCATATTTTTCGCCTTTAATTATTTGGCCGATTTTTCAACAAGTGATATCAAATTGTTCTTGATATCGGGTTGGTTCACAACAAGTAGTATCAGAGCCAATGGTTTTTTGGCGATTCCTTGGTAGGTCCAAATTAATTATTAAAGTAAGGTTGGGACAATGTTGATTGTTCAGGGATAACAACTTTGAAATTTGAAATTCTGTTTTTGAAACGCAATAGTATGTTTTCATTGTTGCAAAGATGCGAGCAGCTCTCTCTTGTTCAATTGAATCTTGATGATACTTTGTTGGGGATTGATAGGATGCCTACAACAATGACTGGGAGGAGAAACAACAGAAGGATCGAAAAGTCCTATCTCAGATAAATCTTCATCTTTTTAATGAAATTCTTTAGGACGTGGTAAAGGAGAAAAGTGTTGCTGCGTTGTGATTAAAGTTGGAACAACTTTGTAAGATAAAGAACTTGACAAGTAAGTTACGCTTGGAGCAGTGTTTGTATTCTCATCGCTTGACAGAATGTAGATCTTTGGAAGGTCATCTATTGGTGTTCAAGGAAATCATCACTGATTTGGGAACAATGGAGGTTAAGTATGATGAAGATGATTTAGGGTTGATATTGTTATGCTCGTTGCCGCCTTCATATATGACTTTTAGAAATACCATTCTCTGTAGTCGGGATACTCTTACATTGACGAGATATATGATACGTTTTATTCTAAGGAAAAGATGAAGTATCTGGTCGTCAGTACTGAGGCTCATGGAGATGGTCTTGTTGTTCGTGAGTGAAAGACGAGTAGTCATAAAAGGGTAAGTCAAGGATAGCAATAACGGTATAGTCTATCGGTATTACAACAACAAGGGGCACATGAAGAAAGATTGTTATGAGTGGCGAAATATGTTTGCTACTACAGATCAGGATGAACAATCAGAAAATTATGGTAATGTTAATCTTACAAAAGAGAACGGTGATGGAGATTTGTTGGCAAGTACTGAAGGTGACTCCAAACCTAATGAGGATTGGATTCTTGATTCAGCTTGCACT